CAATTTGTACTGATTGTTATTAATAATTTAAGATGTTATTTCCTTATTGGCACTATCCAAAGGAAAGATCTTACTTTTACAGTTATAAAAATAACCATAATTTATAATAACCAGTATTTTTTAGTGTTCTCTATGGGCTAAGTGCTATCCCGAATATTTTTACCAGGAATAATTCAATTTTTATAGTAACCTTATCACATGTTATATCAAAATCGTTCTTCCATTGGGTTGAAATGAAAATGATCTTCCAATTTGTCTGTTTTGTTTTTGAACTGATTTCTTTAGGCAAAACACAGTTCTTTTGGGCATGTGGCCCCAAAGAATAAGAGTTTCTATAAAACACTCTGCCTTCTTGGCTTCTTACTATTATATTGTTCATATCAGTAAGGAAAGCACACTAATGGAGGATGAGGATAATGTTTAACCCTGTGCATTTTGGTTAGTTCATCAATAAAATGGTGGTGGTGGGTACAGGAAGGATACAGAGACATATAATGGACAGCTTCAAAATCTAATATTTCTGTCATGTTTTAATTTTAAGGTAGATTGGTTTTCTTACCGATTCTCATCATGTGTCTTTCTGTCTTCCGCCATCTCTCAATGAAACTAACAAAGCTACTGAAGAAGTTAACAAATTCCACTTGAACATAGCTTGATATTGGTGCATTATTTGGTCCTTTAATTGTGGTTATATCACATAGAAATGCTGCATATTTAGAGAAATCTTCTTTCAATAATTCACACTGCTGAAATGTTCTTCATAAAATTTAACTGACTGTTTTAACAGTGATAATATTTCAGCTATCACCTGTCCCTGTGATAGCCAAAATGCTTAGAAAGAGATGGCAAATCCAAACGTCAGCAGTGATGGAACTGATGACGCTGTGTGGCATTCTCATGAACACAGTCAATACTTCGACAAACTGTCACTTAAAATGGTAGCGTTAGCACAGAGATTTTGCTGATGGAAGATATGATGAAAAGAAACGAGGGCATCTGGATGTGTTATACCTTTTTTGGTCTGGACAATAAACCCTTTATGGTTTCCTGTCATGGAAGGTACACCATTTGTATATGATAACACTCCATACATTTGCTGAATTCAGTCCATCTTCCTGAAATTTGTTGAAAATTGTTGAAGATATCTATCCCCCATGTTCTGTTTGCAAATGTGCCCAAATGAGTAACTCTTTGTAGCAAAGAAAATCTTCTCTTATGACCTGAATGACAAGCTGATTAATCTAAAGTGATTAAATGATATTTTCCTTTTCAAGTATTGTATGGAGTTATTTATTAATTTGAAGGGAAATTCATGCTACTGCTCAGTTATGGTTCTTCTTGAGAGAGGCAGTTGTTTGTACTTTGAAACGTTATCAGGTCTAAGCATTCTACCACTTCGACAATGCATTCTTTCCCAAGTTCTATATCCCTGAATGGCTTCCTTCTCCCCACCCCGAGTATATAAACTACTTTATAGATTGCTTCAGTAGCACTATTTCAAGGTGCTTGAAAGAATTGTATTTTCTTTCACTTTTCATCTTGTAATTTCTTCAGTACAAACTTTTGTGGTCCTTACATGTGGTCCTTACATCTTTTATAATGTTGATGAGCACTAGATTTCTTTAATGTTGATAACACAGTACCACAAAGCAAACAAATCACCTTTAGCAGAAATAAGAAATTATTACAATTCATTATCCTCATTAAAAAGTCTTTGTTCTTCAGTGTTCTCTTGGTCTTTGACATGATGGGCTGGTAAGCACACAGAATTTAAAAGATCCTATTGAGCTGTGCAACTTTCACAAATTCCACTTCAAACAGAAACAAAGTTCACCATTGTCAAAAGCTGACAACAGACAGATGTACTTACGCCCCATAACTCTTACCAACCAGCCTCGGGAGGCCGTGGTGCCAGGCAGGTGGGGAAAGTTAGAACTAAATTATGATTGTAGCATCTGTCAATTCAGCCATTTAGTTTTACTAACAGTCTTACTGTGCTGGTCAATCTGGGAGGATTATTTTGTCGAGATTTATTTTGTTCTTGGGTATTTTGAATATGTTCTTTATGAAATAAAGCAAAAGAAGACAAAAGTTCCTTAATATAAAGGATTTGTTGTGTAAAATTTGGATTCGGTCAGAAGGTCTCACTTAAGAACTTAGAAGGCCACACATTCCTCAACCCTGATCTATATACCATAAAATAGATCCCTTCACTGGAAGAAATATCTACCTTTTCAAAACTAATCTATGCCATTATTTTAAGGTACTTACTCATTTCCTGCTAAATTAATGTCTTAAAAAATAAAAAATCCTCACTGTATTAAGGAACATTGTAATCACATGGGATACTTCTAAATATACACATACATTTATGTAAAACACAAATATTTACATTTTGAGTTCTAACTAGATGGCAAGCAAATCATATTACATGGCTGTTTTTATTCCTCATGATTACACTGAGAAAATTACACTTTTTCTCGGGTGCCAGAAATCCCCATTTTTCCTGTAGGAAAATTGAGACAAAGAAAGGTTAACTTGCCTAAGCAAACGCGGCTTAAAGGAAGCAGAGATGAAAGTGGAGCCCTGGTATCTGATTACAGAGCTACTTCTGCAACCTACATACATATACTACTTTCAAAGGAAAGTATTACTTCATTTTTATTCGTGGTGAGATGAATAATATAAATTAGATAAACACATATTTAATAAATGGATGATTGTATATCGTGAAACAACTATGCTGAATTTCAGATTCATATTAAAGTTCAAAGGATCAACCTAAACTACGTCATTTTTATATATGAAGAAGGAACTACAAGATAATAAATTACTGGCTTTGAGTTAATTTAGGATTTGGAAATAACTACAGGGAAAAAAGTTAAAGCATATGACATTGGACTCCAGAGTCCTTGATTCCTTGGAAAGAAATGTGAAATTCAATTGAAATATTTCCTGGGGCAGACAAAGATTAAAAGAAAATTAATGCTACTGGATGGGCACAAATAACATTTCATAGAATTTGTCTGTGATCAGTGTTGCTGTAGGCTAACTAAAATATTAAACTAGTAGAGCACTTCCATGCCACAAGTTTTCTAGCTGCTCTTATCTGAGGGATACAGCATAAGTAATTCCTTATGATCCAGGGACTTGTGTCCTTATATTTTATGAGGTTTTATATAGTACAATGCATCCTGAAACTGGATTATTTCTAGTAATTCTGATGTTCATAGCTGAGTAGTCTTTTCCAATAATGGTATCTTTCTATTTCAAATATGCAACTAATCAACAACATAGAATGTCTGCCAATACTTTTTGTGGTATTATTTCTGACAGCTTAGAATTGTTAATCTAATTCTTAAATAGGAAATAAAAGATATAGTTTTCAGGAAACAGGTAACATTAAATATTTTTAATGATAGGTATATTGGTTTGGTGTTCAATCATGGTAGTAAATAGTCTATCAGTAAATTTAAACAGGTAAGAACTAATGTGTGACAGGCGTTATCATAAGGCAATTATTATACTATTTGAAAAACCATTCCTTACTGATACCAAGTTTATTAGATTAGTCAATATAGTAAGCTATCTTTTATATTTTTAGCATGGAATATAAATGCAAAATAAAAGAGTATTACTAAAGTAGTTCAATAGAGAAAATTAATAGCTAGAATATGGTTATTTACTTATCAATCTACTATCTGTATTTCTATCACCTCCAGGCTCATCTCTGTCTAAATTCCATCACCATCACTGCATCACAACATCTGACTCTCTTGATAGTTCTTAATATGCCAGGCATTCTTATGTCCTAGACCTTTGGACTATATGTTCATCCTGCCCAGAACTATCTTCATCTAGAAATTTGCATAACCAACTCTTGTGCTTCTCATGTTTTTGCTTGTATTTCACTTTTTCAGGGAGGCCTACTTTTGCCACTCTATTGAATATTGTAATCTGCTGCCTACTTTACTTCTAGGCACACTTTTTAAAATCTTTTAACATACCACATAAGTTTATAATCTTTATATTATTTTGAGTACTGTGGTGTCCATACAAGTATATATGCACATGCACATACATACACACACACCCCATTTTTTTCATCTGTTACTGGACACCTACGTTGATTCCATATCTCTGTGAATAGTGTTGCAATAAACATAGGAATGTAGATGTCTTTTTGATATAATGATTTACTTTCCTTATGAATTTCCTTTCCTTATGATAAATACCCAAAAATAGGATTGCAAAATCATATGTCAGTTCTGTTTTTTGAGGAACCTCCATACTGATCTCCATAGTGGCTATCGTACTTTCCATTCCCACCAGCAATCTATAATAGTTTCCTTTTCTCCTCTGTGGGATAAACCCCCACATACTGTGTGCTCACTTTAAACTCCAGAAGCGGGTGGACAGACTTCTGTGGAATGCAACTCTGTTGAAGACCTGGTAGCCTTGGTCAACACAGAATAGGGCCTGAAGTTTTGGGCCTAAAAACCCATCTTCAGTGACTCTGGCTATGTGGCTGATAAGCCTGCGAGGAAAGGGTTAAAAGCCTTCCTGCAGAGACACAGCCTAGAGGTTGATTGGCATAAAGTGGGCTCCAGGTTGCCCAGAGACAGAGCCATAAACCGGCTTTCTGTAATACAATGAGTGCATAGTAAAACTCCAAAGCTTTACTCCCCTCTTGGTAATCTCAAGTCTCTAGACACACTCTCTTTTGCAGCTATCTCAAGGTTTCAAACTTTGTATCTTTTTGAAGGTTGAACTAACATTAGAAAAGTATTATGAGGGGGGCGGGCGGAGGAGGGCGGGAGCGCAGAGCAGCTTTTAGCGCCGGCTCCGGGACCGTGGCGCTCTGTTTCGGCGCTGTGGTGGCTGTGAAGTCGTACGGTCTCTCTTCTCCCAGTGAATAAGAAAGAATAAAAGAATCTGGAAAAGTTGGGAGAAGATAAAGTATATTCAGTTTCCAAACCAGGAGATCAACAAAGTAGGAAATGCACAATTTTGAGGATGAGTTAACATGTCCCATCTGTTACAGTATTTTTGAAGATCCTCGTGTACTACCATGTTCTCATACATTTTGTAGAAATTGCTTGGAAAATGTTCTTCAGGCATCTGGTAACTTTTATATATGGAGACCTTTACGAATTCCACTCAAGTGCCCTAACTGCAGAAGTATTATTGAAATTGCTCCAACTGGCATTGAATCTTTACCTGTTAATTTTGCATTAAGGGCTATTATTGAGAAGTACCAGCAAGAAGACCATCCAGATATTGTCACCTGCCCTGAACATTACAGACAACCCTTAAATGTTTATTGCCTACTGGATAAAAAATTAGTTTGTGGTCATTGCCTTACCATAGGTCAACACCATGGTCATCCTATAGATGACCTTCAAAGTGCCTATCTGAAAGAAAAGGATACGCCTCAGAACCTGCTTGAACAGTTGACTGACACACATTGGACAGATCTTACTCGTCTTATTGAAAAGCTGGAAGAACAAAAATCTCATTCTGAGAAAATGGTCCAAGGTGATAAGGAAGTTGTTCTGCAGTACTTTAAGGAGCTTAGTGATACATTAGAACAGAAAAAAAAATTTTTCCTAACAGCTCTCTGTGATGTTGGTCATCTGATTAATCAAGAATATACCCCACAAATCGAAAGAATGAAAGAAATGAGAGAGTAGCAGCTTGAACTAATGACAGTGATAACGTCTTTACAAGAAGAGTCTCCACTGAACTTTCTTGAAAAAGTTGATGATGTTCGCCAACGTGTGCAGATCTTGAAACAAAGACCACTTCCTGAGGTCCAACCTGTTGAAATTTATCCTCGTGTAAGCAAAGTATTAAAAGAAGAATGGAGCAGAACAGAAATTGGACAAATTAAGAAAGTGCTCATTCCTGAAATGAAAATTTCTTCAAAAAGGATGCCATGTTCCTGGCCTGATAAGGATGAAAAAGAAGTTGAATTTTTTAAAATTTTAAACATTGTTATAGTTACACTAATTTCGGTGATACTGATGTTGATACTCTTTTTCAACCAACACATTATAACCTTTTTAAATGAAATCACTTCAATATGTTTTTCTGAAGTCTCTTTATCTGTTTACCAAAGTTTATCTAACAATTTACATAATTTAAAGAATATACTATGTCGCACTTTAGAGTTGTCAAAGGAATTTGTGTGGAAAGTAGTTTCTCATTGAAAACTTAAATCTGAATTGTTTAAATGGGCTTATTCTGTGTATGCAGAAACTAACCATTCCTAAGTAGAGATGTAGGGGTACCATGGACAAGTACTAAGTAGCAAACTAAGCTTTATTAGAGTTGCAACAAATAATGTTATCTTTCATGTTTTTGTTGGTTAGAAATATGCCAAAATTAGAAATGAGGCCATATCAAGTCATTAGAAAGCAATAAAATCTAATAATTGCTTGATTTGATATTAATACATTATCCCAGTTTTCTTAGCTTCATAGAAGTTAGCTGGATGTTGCTGTGACATTTAAACACTCTTGTACCAATATTCTTTTACCATTATTGTATACTACAGTTATTTGACTCTGCAGTTCTTTATGCAGTTTTTAGGTTAAAGGATGGCAAAAGATGAAAAGTATGTAATTTGATATGGCTTGAAACTTTGGGATGAGTGAATATAAAGATGGTCAAAAGAAATTTTAAAATGAAGAGCAAAGCCTAAATGTGATAAGGCATTATTAGTAGAACCTCTGTAAGTTGACCACCCAATGGACTTAACAATATACAGAGGTTGTGAGCATAAGGAACTAGGCCTTATGTACTGATATGTCCATGTATGTGGTGCATGTCTGGTCTATGAAAATTAGGTCAACTTGAGTTGGTCAACTATGGAGGTTCTACTGTATTTTGATCAAATATATCCTGTCCATATCTATGTTAGGTAGATTTAAGAGCCATAAAATATTAAAATTCATTCCAAATAAATCTGTTGCTTTTGGATAACAGTGTTTGAGAACACAGTAGCATTTTCTAATACTTGTCCTATTTCATGATTTGTATAAATTCTAAGATTGTACTTTTGTCATCTAAAAGTCTTGTCATTCAACTCAATTTTTGGATAAAAACCTACATATTATTACAGTTACATTGGTGACATACTTCACCCTGGACAGGTTTTGATGGCGTCATTTGAACTTTGTTTAAAAACTAAATGTTTAAAATTATCTGCCAAATAGTCCCTGTAATGCTAATGGTAAAATACCAACAAGTTCAAAACTCTTTAGTTCCATTAACAGGGATTGGAGTTAAGATACTTGTGGTAGGTAAACTTTTGGGCTCATTGTCCACACAACTCTTTTAAGTATAAGCTGACTTGCTTTTCAGAAATCCCAAATGCGCTGCCTTACCTGTTTCAGAAAGACATTCCAGGTCAGATTAGGGAATGTTCTTGGACCAACAGATTACATAAATAAACTATCATGAATAAACAATGGGCTTATTTAGGGTACTAGTTCTAAAACACTCCTAAATTCCTGTCTGCTGAGAATAAGTCTTAACACTAAGATGCTCAATTGTCAGTTTGACTAGAATCAGACTATACCCAGCAGTTAACTATTGTACAGGCAAAGAACATTTGAAGGGCATAATGGAGGTGACAGGAGGTATAGCCAGCTATTAAAATAGAAATAAAAATAACTTTAAAATTAGTAATTTGATTTACTTAAAACTTTAGTTATACCATGAAAGGGCCCTGTGCTTTTGAATAATGCAAATATTAGTAAGCAATGAAATGTTAGCCCTTGTGTGACAAGCATTTATCTCACATTTTTAACCCCTTCTTTTTGTAGATGTGGAAGAGTCCAGGCTTTTTCTTTTAAAAAGTTTCATTTATAGTAACTACACCTTTAAAGGATCTAAATAGGCAAAGGTTAATTAATGTTAATAAACTAAGGTTTATAACCTATAAGGATCACATATAGCTAAAAACTGAAGCTACGCCTATTAACATCTTTTGAGACTATTTTTCAACTTGCCAATTTTTAATAAACTTGTTTGACAAATTTTATGAAATATGCTTTAATAATGTGATTCTTACACATGCTACTGTTCTTTTCTATTTTTGCCAAGGTATTATATAAAGTACATAATCTTAAAACATTTCTAAGTTTTATGTGTTAGAAAAGTATATATTTTAATAAACTGGTTTTGGTATTTTAATTTGTACTGAGTGGCTTAAAGATAATGTCAGTGGTAGCTTTGGAATTTTTGTTATGTGTTCTGGGTATTTTCTATTTTAACCCTTTAAAACTTAGTACCGAGCTCTGTTGTGTTGGTTATTAAAATAAAAATTCTGTTATCTACTCTCACCAGTGAAACTGATGAAGCATTTCTTACGCTTCCCTTTTATTCTCTTGATTTAAAAGAAACAACACAAGCTTGAATTTTAGCTCTTGCTTTATTAAAGTCCATGCTTACATTTTTATGGCTGTATTATGATACAAACTTTTTTTGGAGACAGGGTTGCCTAGGCTGGAGTGCAGTGGCAGTGGCATCATTATAGTTCAGTGTCACCTCAAACTCTTAGGCCAAGTGACCACACATGACTTTTTTGTAGAATTTTGTGAGGGAAGGTCTTGATATGTCGCCCAGACTAGTTTCCTATCTGGGCCTCAAGAGTGTTGGGAGTACAAGGTGTGGCCCATTGCTTTCACACCTGGTGGATTTAATACCTACACAATGGTCCACTGAATAATGAAGCAATTAACTCTTAATTCTTTAGGCTAAATACCTACAAATTAAATAGAGCAAAAGACTTGATTCAATACCAAAATTCCTATGGAAACCAAGTGGTGCCAACTGACTTCCAGTTGCATTCTAACATTTTTTGAGCCAATACAGTGTAAAAATTCAATAGGCCAACAACACTCATGATACCTTACCTTTCATTACTAAGGAATTTAACCCCCACATACATATGCTTCTCGATTTACAAGGGGTCAACATCCAGATAAAATTAGTAAGTTTAAGAACCTCTACTTCGGGTGGTGCCTGTGGCTCAAAGGAGTAGGGCGCCAGCCCCACGTAGGTGGCAGGTTCAAACCCAGTCCCGGAGAAAAACTGCCAAAAAAACCCTCTACTTCATTCTTACAAGACAACTAGACTCCTAAATACTCCTAAAACTCAGGAGTATTTTTCAAATTATAATATAAGCTAGTCGTGTTCAGATACTGCTTTTGTTTACTGGCCCTCTTGTATGTTTCAAGTGGTCAAACATACCAAGTTGTAGAAAAACATTTAAATTCACATTCCTGTAATTAGGACACAAAAGTGTTCCCATTATTTGGGTAATAAAAATAGTGATTGTCTAAATTAGCAAATTAAGTGGGAGGCCTTAAGAATTTATCGAAAATTATAATAGTTGGCAGGCTTTTCCAGTGAAGATGAAAGGTCCATGAAGGTATGAGCTTTGGTAATACAATCTAGTTTAGATATCTGCCTCAACTAATTTTTAACTTTGCTGGCAGCAAGTGAGTAACCTGACTCTCTTAAGTATCTCATTTTTTTCACAGTCTGCCACTTAGAAAATTGTCAGGTTCTTACAATCTACTAGAAGTACAGAGAATACTTTATTAGATTTTATAAAAACACTCTTAATAGCATAAAATAGTTTTCTGATCCAGTTTAGGAGTATGTATTTTATACAAGTCCATTGCTTACAAATAGAGAAATCGGTAATACAATAAGCTGCATCTACATCAACTCAATTTGAAGAGTCTTCTGTATAAAAAAGCTTAACAAAGTCCTTTAGATGCAATTTCCTTCGGGTTTACTGCAACACTTTTTGTTATATTGTATGTCTTGTAAATTCCAATAAGTCTATCTGAAATTTCAAACATATTATTTCGAAGAGAAATTATTATGAACTGGGCATTTTTTGTTTGTTCCTACGGGAGAAAAAAATAAGAAACATTAATAACAGGTAAAACAAACATGTAACCTCAATTTTTTTTTTTTTTGGATAACAAATTTAACATTAGATTGATATTATGCAGGCATGATGACATGGATATTTCAAAAAACAGTTTTTGAGTTTGAAAGGAATTTGGTGATTATTGGAAGTATGACAACCTAGAAGTCTTTTGGTGAAAAAGATCTAGTAAGGAAACCTGGGATACTATTTGTGATTCTGCTAATTTGCATTTTCAATTTATATTTTACTTCTCCAAAGTGGATATAGTTCAAATAAAGATCTGGTCTCTGTTGATACCATACAATATGCAGTTAGAGAATAAGGAAAAAAGCTCAATAGTAAGAAATAAGTCAAAGAATTCATGGGCAGAAAACTCCAAACACGATCACTTACATATATATAAAATGCAACAATGGACACATTTTTAAAATCAAGGGCAGCATCAATCTCATCCATGAAGTAAAGGGGAGTGGGTTTGTAGTGATGAAGAGCAAATACTAAAGCCAATGAACTAAGTGTTTTCTCTCCTCCTGAAAGGTTAAAGATCTTCTTCCAACTTTTCTTTGGTGGTCGAACACTGCAATAATTAAGAAAATCTCTTAAGTCAAATTACTTGAAAAGCCCAAGACCTCATGATTTGTCTTCCATAATTTGCCACCTCCAATCTCTCATTTGCTTTTCACAAATACGAACTGTTTTGGGGGTATTTTATAATAACATTAGAGAATGAACACATTGAAACACCTACCAAATTTTAAGATTTAAATAGCAAATGCAATTTTCAGTACTGACGTAAAACTAAAGTAGCCTGAAAATTAAAAAAAAAAGATGAACTAGAAAAGTATTTTGTAAAGGTTATTTGCTGTTTGCCCTTATAAACTGCTAGCATAAGTAGCATGTAAACAAATTATTATTAAATAAAACCAAATAAATCTTACCTTCACATCCCACTACCCAACAAATACTAGGTTTGGAGAATACATCCCTATAGTAACAAGCAGATTAAAAATGCAGTGTAATTACAAACCTGAACATGATTCCTTCAGAGAAAGGGTCCAAACTGTCTACAAGCTCCAGTTCAGCATCTCCACCCAAGGTAAGCATTTGGTAATTTTCCTTTAATTTATTTGTTATTACATAAAAACCTGCCATAAATTCATTAAGCCTTTGTTTCCGAAGATCTTCATATGCCTGTCTAAAATTATCTCTCTGATTAGTAATTTTGTCCAATTCTGCTACTCGTTGCAAATATAATTCTTCCTGTGAAAAGGATATTATGTTAGGAAAAATCTAAATGGATATAAATCTGACATGAAAATTAGCATTGCTAATTATATAAAACTAAAGGACAGAATTTATAAGGACTATAAAGCATTTATGACTGGTATACATAAACAGTTCTTTATACCTTCTTTTTATACTCTGCAATGGCACCAAGATTTGGTTTCATTTCATGACACTGGGCTTCCAAAAGTGCAATTTGATTGGTTATAGAATCTGGATTCTTGATTGCTTCAAGATCCTCTGGGCTTAGAACTGAAATATCTTCAACAGGATTATCTCCTATTGGATGCAAGGATATTTTGGAAATCTGAAAGTGTGATGTAGGTGAGAGTTAGAGGAAGCACAATACTACAAAAAACCCCCCCAATATGACAAGTCATATACCTAGGAAAACAACAGGAGTTGTGTTAACTATTTTTTAGGCCCTCCCCCCTTTTCTCATAAAGTGTATGTGAAAGTCAAATTTAAATGGTAGCAATCTCACCTCTTTTTGCCAATATTTTATTTTAGAATTATGTTCAGCAATGTGGCTATCAATTTGTTCAAGTTTTAACTTAATACTAAGTGCGTCTTTTTGAAGTGCATGTTCATTTTCTTGAATAACTTTTAGTTCTTGAAGTAGATCACGATGTTTTTTCTGGACCTCTGGTAAGGATTTCTAAAGATCAAGAAGAACTTTTACAAAGATCATCTTCCCAAATAGAACAGGTATTTTCACATTTCAAAGATGGCATTAGCGATCTCTTCCAATGCTTCTTCCACTTTAAATTAAAACATTTTAATTGACAGAAAAGTTTTAATATGGCACTCATTTCCTTACAAATA